GCTTTGGTTTTGACCCAGAAGGACCAGAACCTCTGACAGATGCCTTCAACATTGCAGAGTAACAGAGTTGGAAGGGAAGTTGGAGGTCTTCTAGTTAAATCCTCTGCTCAAGCAGGGGACCATATACCATTCTGGAGAAATGACTGTCCAATCTCTTCTTAAAAACCTCCAGTGATGGAGCACCCAACAACTTCTGTAGGCAAGTCATTTCATTGACTTGCCTACATTTCTCCTTAGTTCTAGGTTCGATCTGTCCTTCATAGGTTTCCATCCATCACTTCTTGTCCTGTCCTCAGGTGCTTTGAAGAATAGGTTGGCCCCATTCTCTATGACAGTCCCTCAAATATTGGAAGACTATCATGTCAACCCCTAGTCCTTCTCTTTGTAAGACTAGACTTTCCCAGTTCCTGCAACCATTCATTATGCTTTAGTCTCCAACTCCAATCATCTGTGTTGCTCTTCTCTGTGTTGTTGTTTCTAGAGTCTCAGCATCTTTTTTTATACTATGGTGACCAAAACTGGATGCAATATTTCAAGTGCAATCCTTTACCAACACTTTACAAACCAGTACTAGCACTTCATGATACTATTGGTATCCCTCTGTTAATGCAGCCTAGGATTTCTCTCCATGTAGATACAGTTGCATTGAGAACTATATGTTGTGTGAAGTTGACCCACCAGTTATGAATCCATCTGGTGGTGATGTTGCTTATCCCACATTTTTCTAGGCTCTGGTCTGCTTTGAAAAATGCCTTACTGAAGTCCAAGTATACTCTGTCCACAGTATTCCTTTGGTCCACTAATGCACGATGGTCAGTTTGTTAAAGGCAATAAGGTTTGTCTGGCATGATCTGTTTTTGACAAACCCATATTTGCCTCTAGTAATTTGCTTGTTTCTAGATGTTTGAAGAGCTGTTGCTTGATTATCTTTTCCAGGATCTTTTCGGATATTGATATCAGGCTGATTGGTCTGTAGTTTCCTGAATCTATTTTTGCAGACTTGGTTCATCACTTTGTCCCTGGTCAAATGCCAAGTACTCACTGAATATCATTTTTCCCTATCTCTCTGGAGAGAACCTTCACTGTACCTGGACTCTGGAATGCTCTTCCTATTATAGGGTATGTACAGTGGTGAAATCCAAACTTTTTTTTACTACTGATTCTGTGGGCGTGGCTTGATGAGCGTGGCTTGGTGGGCATGGCAGGGGAAGGATACTGCAAAATCTCCATTCCCACCCCACTCCAGGGGAAGGATACTGCAAAATCCCCATTCCCTCCCCACTCCTGGGGGAAGGATATTGCAAAATCCCCATTCCCACCCCACTCTGGGGCCAGCTAGAGGTGGTATTTGCCGGTTCTCCAAACTACTCAAAAGTTCCGCTAGCAGTTCTTCAGAACCTGTCAGAACCTGCTGGATTTCACCCCTGGGTATGTATGATGATGTTTTAGGGGCTCCAAGTGATGACACCTTGCCTTCCTAAAACCTACATGGATGAGTACTAGATCAATGGCCTTGGGGAGTTTATTTCCTTTTAAAAATATAGTTTTCCTCCATCTTTTAAATGCATATGCTTTTTTGCTGAATTAATTAAGGTAAGTTAATAATTAGATAGTAAACTGCTTCGAAAGGGGAGTGTAGGACTAAATTAAATGATAAACACCAACTTAAATAATCCACCAGAAATAAATAAAAACACCTGAAGGGAGTTTGGGGAGATATTCGGGTTAATTAGAAATGTTGCATTTGTTCATATTTTATTTCTTTGTCCTCTTCCCCCATGACAGTCCCATTTTTTTTTTTTTTTCAAATTAATGTATCCAAATACATTCTGCTCAAAATAGCCAAATAGAGCCTTGCATGATGACTTACACGCCGGCAGTAGACATTTCATTTTGTCCATGTCATAAGGAAAAGCAACACCATTAATTTCCAAAGGGTGATTGAAGAAGTGACTCAAGGAAGTGAGCCAAGTTACGTGCGGTATATAGGGTTTGAAGGATGTTGTGTGGGATGCACATTTCCTGGGGCTACTTCGTTAATTACATATAAGGCAATCGACTGAAAAAAAGTTGACCCCTCTTCCTGTGTTTTTAACTTTAGTCACTATGCTGAAATAAATTACTGTATTCAAACATACGCATAAGCATCATTACAGATACCACTTAACCTCTGAAAATTAAGACAGTATCTTAATTTGGGGGGAGCAGAATTGTGGGGGGAAGAAATGGGGTCCTATTTATAGCCATCCTTAGCTTTGCTTCCACTTCTGTTCCTTTTCTTTAAACTTCAGTACCCACTCCTACAGAAAAGATGGAGGAGATTTGATATAGATCTTGTATTATTTTGTATGGTGGTAAATCAATAAGGACAGTTTCTCTTGCTTAATTTTACTGTGCCAGCCGCTATTAAAGGCACAAAAGAAGGAAAAGAAGGACGGCAGCTTTGATTCCTTCAGTCTTTCTTTTAAGGGGAGAGAAGCCAAAATCTTAACATGAATCAGGCATTAGTCAAAGAAAGCCTCCCACCTACAAAAATCCAATCTGTCTTGCAATGGGAGCACAGTTCTAAGAATATAGAGGTGAAGGCAGGTATTTTTCTCTCTCTAATATTCTTTAATGAGGTATTGCTTTCATTCAGGCTCCCTTTTTCTTTCAGGTAAATATCATAGCTTAAAAAGGCACCCTTCCATTAGCATTCTCTTTCTTTCTATCAGAAATGGGATAGCTGACCATCATTGCTTACCTGTATTCTAATTTCAAATCTGAAATTAGAGTGATCAAGATCTGAACTGTGGGCATTCAGCCACAGGGTGGCAGCAAAAAGCTACACAACACTCAGGCTCTTTGCTGCCCTCTAATGTTTGGGTGAAAGTTTGCACCTTAAATCTGGTAGCCCAAGCAACAGTTCCATCAGCAGCTGAAAGGAGGCTGCGGGGGGGGGGGGGGGAGGATGGGGGAATCAATCAACCCTGAGACCTGGGATCCTTTCTGTCCCCACCCAAAAGGCAAACCTGAGATCATTGTGTCCTCTTGGTTTTCTTCAGGTATGTGAGGAAGCCCTTAGAAAAGGGAAAATTACAGCTGTCCTTTCTCATTTTTTTAGCCCTTCAGCTGGACAGGATCATCCTTCATGACTGTACAAGTGTCTCCTTTCCATTGAGCTGGACCTCATGGATGTTTCTATTAAGTTTTCTGGACTTCTGTAGAGGAAAATTTGCTCCTGGCTTCTTCTGAGACGTCTTTTGACTTCCAGTGTAGCCGTCAGCCGAAATTACTCAGCTCCCACAATACTTGGAGAGCCTGGGCTGAAACAGGGTTGGGAATTTCGAAGTAAATGGGAGCTAGTCTCTCTCCTGCTCTGGATGACCCCCAGCCCTTTTTCTTTGCTTATGGGGCATCTCCTCTTGGACAGCACTCTGATGGGGAAGGCATTCTGTTGGATTGGCCACTCAAAGGGGGCTGGGCACTGCCTGGCTTGGTGGGCGTGATGTGGCTTGGTGGACGTGTGGCAGGGGAAGGATACTGCAAAATCCCCATTCCCTCCCCACTCCTGGGGGAAGGATACTGCAAAATCCCCATTTCCATCCCACTTCTGGGGCCAGCCAGAGCTGGCATTTTCTGGTTTATTTATTTATTAGTTCATTTATATGCCGCCCTCCTCCGAAGACTCAGGGCGGCTTACAAGGCAATAGCCTTCATTCTCTTACAAGGCAATAGCCTTCATTCTTCACAATAGCAATAGCCTTCATTCTTTTGTATATACCTGCTTATTAGGGCTTTTGGCCCCCCATAAGCGGTGTTTCTACAAAGTCAGCTTATTGCCCCCACAATCCGGGTCCTCAATTTACGTACTCGGAAGGATGGAAGGCTGAGTCAACCTTGAGCCTGGTGAGATTTGAACTCGCACTAATTGCAGGCAGCTGGCAGCTAAATGCTACATAACAGCACTTAGTCTGCTGCACCACCAAGGCTACTCAAAATTTCTGCTACCAGTTCTCCAGAACCTGTCAGAACCTGCTGGGTTTCACCCCTGGGGCTGGGTAAGGGAGGCTTTTCAAACCAACCATTCTCACCACATCTGTTTTGGCCCAGTGGCTACCCAAAGGTAGTCACAAAAAATAAGCGGGCAAGGAGATGCAGCCACGCTGCTTTTTTCTTTTTCCATCACCCTATTGGGGGTGGGGGTGGGGGGTGGAGGTGGCTCTGCTAGAAGGAGAAAAAAGCGAAGTTGCCCCTCTACTATTCCTAACCCCCCCCACCTTTAAAACAAGCCTGGCAGTCTTAAACTGCCCTTCAAGCATTCCTTCAGGTCCAAGCTGCCCTTTTCCCCCCAGATGGGCCGAATCTGGAAAGCACCAGGTTGGAGGTGCCCCGACGATACCCCCCCCCCCCACAAACCTTTCCGAGGCTAGAGTTGGCTTCTTGGCTCTTTGGCCGAAGACAACGTCCAATGTTCATTCCCGGGGAGGGGGGGGAGGGCGGGAGAAAGAGACATTCTTCCCAGCTCCGCGTACCCCCCCCCCCAACCACCTCGACCCCTCTATTCCATTTGGGGAAGGGGGAGAGAGGGGGGATGGAGGGGAAGAGAGAGAGGGAGGAAGAGGGGAAAGAGAGGGAGAGGGAGGGAGGGAGAGGGGGGAGAGAGAGAAGGAGGGAGGGAGAGGGGGAGAGAGGGGGGATGGAGGGGGAGAGAGAGAGGGAGGGAGAGGGGAAAGAGAGGGAGAGAGAGAGGGAGGGAGGAGGGGGGAGAGGGAGAAGGAGGGAGGGAGAGGGGGGAGAGAGGAGGGATGGAGGGGGAGAGAGAGGGAGGGAGAGGGGAAAGAGAGGAAGAGAGAGAATCAGGGAGGGAGAGGGGGAAGAGAGGAGGGATGGAGGGGGAGAGGGAGGGAGGGAGGGAGAGAGAGAGAGAGAGAGAATCCGGCCCGGGTTTTCCTTCCCGCCCTTCTTTCTGTAAGCCGGCTCTGCAATTTGGAACACGTTTCGCTCGCGCTGCCGTGTGCGCGTCCGCAGCTTGCTCGGCTGCTCCGGATAGCCTTGCGCGGCGGCTTTTCCCTCTGATCTCCAGCGAGGCTCTCTCTCTCTCTCTCTCTCTCTCTCTCTCGCTCTTTTTTTTTTTTCCCCCCCCCCCCCCCTTCATGTCTGCCTCTCACCCGGGCGAAACGCGTCGCGCGCCGCGTCCAGCCAATCCTCGCTTTCCCGCGCGGCGCTTCCTCCCGCTGCCTTCAACCTGAGCGCGGCTTCGCTGCTCCCTCGACCGAGGGCACCCAGGGCCCCGCGCAACCCGGTGGTGGTGGTGGTGGTGTGTGTGTGTGTGTGTGGAGAGACTTGAACCACCCGCCGGCCGAGGAGCCCCGGGAGGAGTGGGCGAAAGGGAAGCGTGGAAGCGGCTCCTCGCGCCCTGCGGCTCGGGCTCCTTTCCCCGTAGCCGTAGCGGCTGCTCAAAGTTTGCGGGGCTCGCTCGAGGAGGTCTGCGTGGCGCCTAGACGCGCGCGGGTGGGGTCTCGGGGAAGGCACTTCGCGCTGGAGGGCTCCGCTCGGCGCCTCTTGGAAGAAGAAGAAGAGGAGGAGGAAGAAGAGGAGGAGGAGAAGAAGAGGAACCGGTCTTGGGGATTTATTTTTTCCAGTGGATTTGGCGTCTCTCCCTGTTTTTGCAAAGCGAGCGGGTCGGGTCTTTTGGGGGGAGCCGGGTTTTTCTCGCGGAAAGAAATTTGGGGAGCACCATGGTGGCCGGGATGGGGGCGCTGCTTTGGGCTCCCCTCGGGCTGTTGCTGTCACTTCGGGCCGGAGCCGCTGACGTGAAAGCGCGGAGCTGCGGCGAGGTGCGGGAGGCGTACAAAACGAAAGGCTTCAGCCTGGTGAACATCCCCTATCAGGAAATCGCAGGTAAGGCACCTGGGGAGGCGGCGCGGGGCGACACGGATCTTCCTTTTCGGGATGGGGGGGGCTTTGGCGGCGTGGGGGGGGGCAGGGTTCCCTTTGGGCTTTGCCCACCTTCTGGGTTGGACTTTTCCCTGGATCTCGCCTTCCTCCCTAGAAAGAGAGCAGCGGTGCCTTTTCCCCTCCGAGCCGCGCTCGGGCGCAGTTGAAGCCATGAATTGCTTCATTGTGCAATGAATAGAGAATCCTTTTGAAAATTTCTAAAGCGACTTTCAGGGGGATGAACAAATTGGGAGAGGGGAGAGAGAGAAAGAGAGGGAGGGAGGGAGGAGAGGCTTGGCAACAACTTTCTTTCCTTCCTTCTTTCCTTTCCTTCCTTCCTTCCTTCTTTCTAAAACTAAAACTTGGGGGTGGGGTGGGGAAGTCCCTGCTGGGAAGAAGGGAAGAAAAGAAGGAAGGAAAAAAGGAAGGAAAGAAGGAAGGAAAGAAGGAAGAAAGGAAGGAAGGCAAGAAGGAAGAAGGAAAGAAGGAAGGAAGAAAAGAAGGAAAGGAAAAGAAGGAAGGAAGGCAGGCAAGAAGGAAAGAAGAAGGAAAGAAGAAAAGAAAGAAAGAAGGAAAGAAGAAATATTTCTTTCATTCTTCTTTCGTTCTTTCGCCTGCCTGCCTGCCTGCCTTCTTGCCTTCCTTCCTTTCCCTTCTTCCTTTCTTCCCAACAGGGACCCCCCCCCCTCCCCAAAGTTTTTAGTTGGCTTCAAAGAATTCAACAGCTGGAATGCAAGTAGTTGGTCTCTTCTACAATCTTGGATAAAGTTGTCCACGAGTCTAGCATTAATTCATAAGCTTCCAGGATACTATGGAAAAATACGAATTAAAATTCTTCAGCTTGAAACTGGAGGAACCTTACAGGGTTTTAACTTTTTAACTGTTCACAACCAGTAACAATTGTCCTTTGCCAGTAGGGTGTGCTCTTTATCATACAGGAGTCCTATTGCCTCTGTTTGGCAAAACACCTGTAAAAGATGCAGTGCTTCCTACACCTGAGAGAGATTGAAAACACCGGAACGTTAGAAAGTAAAACAAAACAGGGTGGATAAGTTATTGTGAAAGGCATGCCTTTAAATTGCGTCTTTGTATATGTATGTATGGCCATTGAAATTTCCCTTTTCTTTTTGCACAATTATGGCACAATGTGCGTGGTTTCTTGGCTTGGGCTTCTGTCTTTTCATCGTAAGCCAAGCTGCATTCTTCCTATGTATAGGGACAACCTTTAAGCCACCTTGGCAACAAGAAACGATAGGATTTGTAGTCTCGTTATGCTGTAGTAGTCCCATTATGCCTGGGAGCTGTTGTAGTGCTATCATTGTTGTCTCTTCCAGACTTAGTTGAATTAATGCATGACTAAGGGGAAAAAAGTTGTATGTGTGAGTGAAAGGGTACTAGAATTAATGGGTGAAACGTGCTGTCCATAATTTTCAAAACTGAATGAAGCCCCTCATTGATATACACCGAGTGTATGCCAGTTCCCAATGAGTCTCCTGTAGAGATGAATAGTGTACTGTAATAATGATTTTTTAAAAAAATAGATGTATTAGTCATTTTTAAAGTCCCTTTAAAATAGAAACAAACATATGAAATTAAAATGAGTTTTACCCTTCTACCTTGCCCTGTTCCAGTTTGATCAATTTCATTTGAAGTGGCTTGGCTAAAGTTGTGAACTGGATAGATCACAAGATAGATAGATAGATAGATAGATAGATAGATAGATAGATAGATAGATAGACAGACAGACAGACAGACAGACAGACAGACAGACAGACAGACAGACAGACAGACAATATATTGCTTACTATTTACAATGGAGCAGGGCTTAAAAACGCTCTTCTTGAAGATATAGAATAGTTTAGGGAAGATTTTTCTTAACATACTTAATTAGTTTTCTTTCTCTTCCTTGTGGTGCTAACATTTTCCAAGGTCTTCTCTAGTTATTTTGTTAAAATATAGAGTAATTGTATCCATATTTGCTGGTGGCCTCTCATAATAAGACGTCTGTACATTTATTGAGATACACTTCCTATTATGAACAATCAAAACAATCCATGCAGTTCTCAGAAAACGTTAACAATTATGTGTGGTATACTTGTTATGTCCTATTCATAACAGAGGAGAAAAATCTCTGGTTTGTGTATTTAGGATTGCAGACTAATATTGACTTGCACAACTTTTTCTCAAGCAATGGAAGGAAGCTGTAAGATTTTCACAGAAACTGAGGCTGTTTCAAAATTATTGTTTTGTGTACGAGTAGAAACACGGCAGTCATAAATTGTGAGTGAGTGCTGATCTGGTCTGACTTGGCACGTGGGGCTGACTTTCAGGTCGTTGGTTCAGCCTTTAGCTACGTATATAGATTAAAGTCTGGGTTGACATAATATAAAGCTCTAGCTGGCATAAGCTGAAATGGTTGGAGGAATAATTCTTTAGCTTCTTTAAGAATAGTTTGAAACCACATCCTTCCAAGGTTTTTTTTATATATATAAACTATTGACTAATTTGTTTATTCAGTTCTTAATTGCATTTTTATCCTTATAAATTATATCCTTATATGTTGGGTTGCAAAAGAAAGTACTTTGTGGTTGAGTATATCTTCTTGGTCCAAGTCCAACATTTTAATAGTTATAAGGGAGAATTTAAATAGCATTGTAAGGCGATGGGAGGGAGGCGATGAATTCATTTTTCCTACTCTTGAAGTTTCACTGTTTCTCTGGAGGTCCAAATAACATCAAAGTATTTCAGACATCTCAGGGGAGTGGAGCTGTGTTTTTCGGTTGCCCTGCCCTTTCTAATGAATTTCACATAGATAACCTTCCAATGCAGTGCCCCCCCCTCCCATAAACCAGGGACCGGTTCCACGGAGAGAGGTTTTTCCATGGACCAGAGGGAGGGGGGGGCATGGTTTCATGTACTGCCTGCATCCCACATATGGGGCTTCGCTTGTTTTTGCAGGCTGGTTTATGTTCTAATATAATCACTTGTGCAGAAATTCAGTTGTCTCTCATGCTGCAAGTACAACTACTGTTCTGTGGCTCCCTGTCCTGGCTTAGAGTCACAGCATCAGAAAATGTGGTGGTCTGGACCATTTTAGGAAAAAACCAGAAGTATATTTGTATGGAGTAAAATTATGTCCCTTTTGAGAATGGCTGGGAGAGAAACATTACAAGCAGAAGTAGTTTGCTTATATAGCAAATTGGGATTCTGGAACCGAGGTGGAAAAACGACCAACAAAAATCAGAGCTTCAACTTTGCAGTAATGTTAAAATTCTTGTGTTCTGTTTTCCTTCTTTCTCTCTCTCTTTCCACCCCACCATTAACTTGCTAATGATTTATAGCAGATATTTCTTTAGGCTGAATCTAAAAGTGTTCTTCAGTCAGGTTTTCCCTACAATACAGTAGTGGCCAAAATTGTGGAAACCTTTTGGGAAAAGTGTATTGTAGGAATCTGCAATCTGCATATGTGCAGGGATTTTTCTATCTTGGATGGCAAACCTCAGATAAGGAAGGTTACTTGCACGTAAGCGCCAGCAAACTACATTAGAAGATAAGACCCTAATTCTGTAAATAAGAGGAACAGCAGGAGAGGAAATGGGATATATGTGTATTAGACTTTAATTAAAGTCTAACATTATAAGTGCTTAAGCAAAGCAGTAATGGTTAACCAAAGACTCTAGTTACCTGGAAGATTCTGTAGCCAATGAGATGCTGCCAAGTACACTGTAACTTGAAAGTAACAAACTATATAATGTCACTATGTAAGACAATAAAATCACCACATACATCCTCAACCTTTGTGTGTGTGTGGTCTCTACAGTGTATTTTCTAAAACTAGGTAATAGCGCCAGTTTTTTTTGGAGTAGTACCATAAAATTATATATCAATGGAAAGATAATTTAATCAAGAATGTAATGCAATAACTTTTATGAAGGATTTGCTATTAGAATAGCAGTTACAGTATAAAGAAGAAAAGTGAAACACGTAGAAAAAACGAGATATACAAAAATTTTCACCATGTCAGTTAATACTTAGTTGGGTAACCTTTAGCATGAATTACGGCCTTACAATGTCTTCCCATGGAGTGAACCAAGTCTTTTAGTTCTGCAGCTGTTATAATGTGAAACCAGGATTGAATGATTGATTCTATTAACTGGGTTTTATTGCTAGATCACTTCTGACTAACAAGTTTCTTTAGTCGGCTCCATAGATTTTCAATTAGATTAAGGTCTGGGCTATTCCCAGGCCATTCCAGCAGTGGAATATGATTACCTTGAAACTCCAAAAAAAAAGTTATTAGCCATCAAACCTCAAAAATACACTTTTCCCAAAAGGTTTCCATAATTCTGGCCAATACTATAATTGTCCTTTTAAGTCAGTGATAGACAATGTTCTCTTAAGTCTCTGCTCCTTGTTTTTTTTTTATTTTATTTTCAAAAACATTCCTGCTAAATTAGCTTGGATGCCTATTGCCATTTTTATCCAATAAACTTCAGATCCCCTCTCAGCTCCTCTGGTTTAGAAATGACTCCTATCACAAAGCCTGGGAAAGCTTCCGTAATTGATGTTGAAGTATTCACAAAGTAGCGGAAATAAGTGGTGGGAAGACTAATAATCAGCCTTTGGTTTAAATACCGACATTAATCAGTGTTAAATCCGATATTGCTTTTCAACATTGTCTTAAGATTTCAACACCATCAGCTCCCCTCTGTGGTGCATTGAATATGAATATTGCTGCTAACCCAAGTGGATTCTTTTCTTTTTATCCAGCTTCATTGGCTTTTGGGTTCTGTGGGTTTAACTCCAGTTGATGCAAGTTAATGGAAACATTTCAGTTTGATTATATCTATTTGAGGGAGAGGTTGGGTTGTTTTAAGGGAATATAATTAGCAGTATGGTCTTTTGTGCCTAGCACTGAGTGCTTTGATTAGAGGAAAACTAGCTTGGAAAAAGACACTTGGGCA